CTTACCCACGATGGAGGGAAGGCTGATGGGTCGATATGACTCCGTTAGCGCCGGCGAATTACCGGGTTTCAGGACTGGGACGATGGTGGCTCGTCGCCACTGGACCGGAATTGTGCCGGCTGTCCGGCTGTGGTTGATGCGGCGGAGAGGGAATCGGAGACACTTCGTCGAAAGATGTGGTAGCGCCTCGCTGTGGACTTCGTCCGCTCCGGGGCCTTGCCGTACGGTGTGCTGCGCAGCGCTGCACGCAGTTCCGTACGATTAAAAGAGGCATCCAGAGAGAGGGGAGAGAAGGAAGCTATCGAAGATGAGGCGGCCGACTCGTTGTTGTTCTGCGGCCTAAGAAGGGGAGGGAGAAGAAATACACAAGGACTTGTTTTCTCCGTTTTTTCCCGTTGGAAAACCCAATCGCCTTGCGAGGTGGGGAGGAATCCAAGATTGAGCGCATCCGCTGCTCTCCTCGCTGTCCCGAAATTATTCTTGCGGCCATCGTACATCAACGCCGTTGTGGGAGACGGAATTGATGTCTTTTTACGTCCGGAATGTATTTTTTAGGCGAGTGGTTTGCCTGGGTTTAACTTGCTGATGCGACGCCGATATTTGCTGCGCGAGCGCTCACGGAGGAGGAGGAAGAATTGGCTCCTTGTCCGTTGCGTCTCTGCTTCACGGTCGGGCGTCGGTAACTGCAGACAGCGGGCCTTGCTGTCGGTGGCAATCCGCTCTGCCTTCGCAAGGGTGTCGCCCCGGAGCTTGGGATCATCCTTGTGCATGCCGCGGGGTCAATGCCGTCGAAGTGAAACTGCAAGTGCTCTCGTAAAAGCTTTGATGCCGGTTGATTGCTTTTTATGGTCGCATGCTGGAAGTTGTGCGTCGAGGTCGTTGGCGAAGGACTCCCACTTGGACTTCCACCAGCTGTAGAAAACTCGACGTACCGAAGTGGGTGCCGAGGGCATGGTATCCTTAAATGCCTGATGCAGCGTGAATGTCAACACATAGTGGTCACTGAGCGGCGGCACATTGGCTGCCCAGTCGGACACGGTAAGATGCCTTGACCATGTCCGGTCGATACAGGATCTCTCTCTTGCACCACGAGCACGCTTTGTTTCACCAGGGGTGTTAACCAAGGTGCGTCCTGCATCCGTGCGCGGTTGTATAAAATTCTACAGCGGAGTTGCTTGGAGGGGTCTCCAGGAAGGGCTCCCACCGTGGGCGACGCACGTTGAAATCTCCACACGGAATGAGAGGCGACGAGACCGAGAGGCAGCTCAGCAACCGCCTAGGGGTTGTGTCGGTTGCGGCGGTGGTCTCATATAGGTGCTCGCTACAATAAGATCACGGTTCTGGCCCAGCGCGAATTGGACCACCACCACGTCGAGGCTGGAATCACGTTAAGGAGTGATGAGGGGCATACGCTCGGAGCGGAGGTTTTTCCTCACCAGCACCGCTGCAGCACATTCCTTGCGGATACGTGATTGTGCATGGAGCACACACTCTCCAGTGTGCATGCTGGCGATCTGCTCCGACGACTTCCAGGTCTCCCGGATGGCTATCATGTCTGCTCCCTTCGCCATTAATGTTGCGAGTTTGGCCGGTGTCAGTGAGGGAACGGTCATCTGGAGTGCTGCTATGGGGCTCGGGCTCCGCTCAATGTCTCCGCCTCGCAGTAACTTTTGCCTCTGTGCGTCACTTACGGCACGCAGACGACACGTGTAGCGCTGGTAAGCGCCGACGAAATCCGGCAGCAGTGAAACCCGCTCGTCCGTCGCATCGTCTGAATCCCACTTGCTGCGATCCCCACTGCTGTCTGCACACTTCGTGCTTGCGTGCCCCCTGGTGACCGGGATGTGGTTTGGCCCTTCGCGCTGTGTGCGCTTGAATTGTCCTTTCGCGACTCTTCGCTTGTCTTGGCCCCTGGCCCCGGCGGTGTATTGAATGCGTTGCTGCGCCATCTTGTACCCGCAGCCCGCTGCTCGCTCAGAACGATGAGTGGCACCTCCCTTGCTGACGGCAGCCTGCGAAGTTCCTGGGAAACGGGGGACACTACTCGCATCCGCAGACACGGGAAGAACGCATGCCGCACGGAGAGTTGTCGGCCCCTCCCGCTGCTCTCTGTCCTGCTAGGGGTGAGCGAGGGACTGGTCCACCGCCGCCTTTCAGCGCTGCTGGCACGCCACCGACGTCAACCTCGATTAACGCCACGACGCACGGTCTCCGACGTGGTGACGCCTGTCCGTGACGAAACGGCACGAGGGCTGAGCGAGCGCATCGCCGTGGAGTGTGGGCGTCGCAGGGGCGGCGTCCCGCGCTGCACCCTCGCCGTCGCCGCTCTCTCGCAGTCACGACCGGCATCTCGAATGCGTTCGACACCGTTGACGATGGGCGAGTGCTGGCTGTGGTCTGCGGGCTCCCGCGCCTGTGCTGTCGAGCCTAACACTGGTTGCGCAGCCACCTGGGAGGCGGCCGCGTTGGGGTGAGTGATCGCAAACAATATTTCCGACAGTAGCTTGCCTCAGCCGGGGCAGCCCACTGCAGCACGCGGACAACACTGGTCCGAGGAACACTTGTTTAGACGAGTGTGAGCTGCTGCCGTGCGTGGTGCATGGACTATTTGATTGTGTGGGGAGGTGCATGGAGTGACGAATACTTCTGTTTGGCGTGTCGCGGTGTGTTGGAATGATGTTCGGAAAACATGTGAGGGGTGTTGTGTGTAGTTTGTGTGTCTTCTCTGGTGGAGCCGACATGTGTGCGGGGATTGTGGCACTGCTGGCTGACAGTTCCACGTCACTTTTCGGCATTCCTGGATGTGCTGAGGAATGACGGCTGGCGACCAGCGTGTTGGTGCCGCTGGTGGGAATAAGTACACGAGGAATTGGCCATTTTCTCTTTCCCATGCTGGAGCCGATGAAATGGCACGAGGGCACCGGCTGCAGGCTGCCTGCCAGCACGTGTGAGCAGCGGATCCATGCACACGCAGACGCTCATCGCAAGAGCCTGTGCGATCACAGTGGCTTTTGTGGGCGTCAGCCCGTCGGAGAATGTGTGAAGCAAACGGCTGACGGAACACGAGGAAAATAAGTGCGTGCACTGTGCCGTGTTTCAGCGTCGATGGCAGAGCGGCAGGAGGCCCGTGCTGGCAACTGAGATCTTTGCGTGGCGAGGGATGTCGGTGTTGATTTTGGATCGTCGAGGGTGAAATGAATTTGCTGCTGCCCGTGTGTGTGGCCACTCCGGCGGAGGGCGAACACAAAAGGGAGGGATGCAGGCGCTGCGTGTGTGTGTGCAGGTGCCATGCAACAACGTCACAACAAACATGCTGCGACTCGGTGACCCTCACATCGCTGTGGTCCTCACGCACAGCCCGGGCACGGCCCGCATCGATGCACTTCGTGGACGGAGTGAGGCATCTTTTGAGGCGCTGCAGGGAGCAGGATGTGTTGACGCAGCCACGACGTGCATGGAGTGTCACGATGGCACAGCCGGCTGTGGCTGGTGGAATATTTGCTTCTCGGAGGCAACAGAGAGAGAGGGAGAGCTGCTCCTGCTGCTGGCGTCGTTGCTGCCTTTTGTGGCCTCCCATGCCGATTATTGTCTGTCCGCTGATCATGGGTGGTGTGCCTCCACTAGTGACGTCGTCTGCAGGCATTCCACAGCACCAGCGAAACACACATCATGTCGCATGCTTTGGCTGTGGGTATGGTGTCGTGAATGCAGCCGGCATTATTTTGCCCGACTCCTTTTCACTGCCTTGCGACAAATAGATGCGTCGCCGCCCGAGTCATTCGCTGCAGCTCCGTGTGTTGTGCTGCCGGCAAAATACTCTCGTGTTGTCTGGCGCCTGGCTGACAGTCAAGCACCACTGCGCTGGGACATGCAGGGATGTGGACTGCCGCTCACGGTGTTGGGCACCGCTGTTTGGATGCGGCGGCCACACGAGCGGATGTATTGTGGCACAATCAAATGCGTGAAATACGCGGAATCACAGCGGCTGCAATAATATCAGCGGTGTGGCGCCACGGAATATGTGAGGGGTGATGCATGATGAATCAGAGTGGGCGGCATGCGAGGGAGGTGCACCGCGACGGAGCGTCGCCCCGCCCTCAGCCTGCAGGGGAATGTACGCCCACGAAATATATGGTCGAGGCACCACCAAACACGCATGCCCTTCTGTGCAGCAATAAATAGGAGCGAAGGTGCGTTCTGGTGCGTGGGAGTCCACTCACATATTCCCATTTCCACCGCAGTAAACGGTGAGGAATCAGGTGCCACAGCAACGAAGCAGGAAATAAAAACATCTATTGCAGCACTTTACCAGCGAAAAGCAGGAACAACTCAAATTGAATTATTGGCTGCACCAACACAATAAAAATTCACAAGAGAAGGAAACAGTTGTGCACACTGCAGGAACCCCAACACGCGATGCAGGCATGAAGGTTTACCCTCCGCAAAAACAATAGCAACATATGCAGACATCTTCCACCCTCCAAAAAGAAACACAAGTAAATGGCTGCTGTATTCCATTCCTTGCGCTTGACTTTGCGTGTGCTGCTGCTGCTGCGGTGGTGGCTGCGCTTCCCGTGGACCAACAATCCACGTGGTGTGCGGGGATCTATTCTTTTTCATGGTTACTTTGCTGTTGTGTTGCTGTGTGCGCTGCACCTATTCTCGTGTGTGCGTGCCCTCCGTGAGGGGTGCCGACACGACGGACCGCTCTCGCCGTATGTGCATGCGGTGGAGCCTTGTGTGCCGCTCCTGTTTGCTTCTCCCTCCTCCATCTGTGTGTTGGTGTTGCGGCAGGGCTGTGTGTGTGTGTGCCTGTTGCCGTGGATTGGAGTGTGTGCTGTACGTGGTGTGCGGCGTACGGTGCATGCCTGGCTGCTGCCCTCTCCTCATGTGTGTGTTTGCCCTCTGTGTGTGTCTGCCGCACCTCTCGTCTCCCCTGTTGCTCTCCATGTCCCTCACTGTGCAGATCAGCTCCACACCACCGAATGACCACACTCAAGATGATGACGTGCCGTCTGCTGTGCGCCCTGTTGGTGCTTGCCCTGTGCTGCTGCTCGTCAGCGTGCGTGACAGCGACTGGTGGAGATCCAGGTAACGGTGGCTCCAGCTTATCGCCTTCTCAGTCAAAGGAAGCAGGTGCTCAAGGCACGCCAGGTGGCTCAGAGTCGCAAATTCCTTCCACTAAAGGACAAGCATCAGGACCCAAAAATCCGGACAGTAAGGAAGCCGCTCCGGCAGAAGAAACGGATAAGGCAACTCCGGAGCCTATTACAAAAGAGGGAGCAGGTGTTCCAGGTACAGAAGGTCCGGAGTCTACTGCAAAAGCGAAACCAGATGGGTCCGATGGGTCAGGGTCGTCAGGTGGGTCCGTTAACCCAAATATATCGTCAAGTTCCGTGACCGGTACGGTATCGGTACAAAGTCAGAAGGAAAATGCGCCAACAACAACCACGACTACAACAAAAGCACCAACTACCACCACCACTACGACTACGGAGGCGCCAACTACAACGACGACCACTCGCGCACCGTCACTTCTTCGCGAAAGCGACGGCAGCCTCAGCAGCTCTGCGTGGGTGTGTGCCCCGCTGCTGCTCGCCGTATCCGCGCTGGCGTACACCACTGTGGGCTGAAGAATTGTGTGCGGGCTGTGCGTGCCGGCACTCAACCGCGGGGACTTGTGTGCGTCCACTGTGGTCCGATGTACTAAACAGGATAAAATAATGATTGTGTTTTGCTTCACTTGCTTCCGCTCCCCTGCCGTGTGCTCCTTGCCGCTCTCCGCATCCATCACGTTGAACGCACCCCAGACACACTCATGTGCATGGCACGCACACAACTGATTGCGTGGGGTCGCATTTGAGGATGGGTGCGTGCGCGCTGGAGCCATGCTGTGCAGCCCTTTGTTTTGTGTGTGTGTTTACATTTTAACTTCATTGCTGTTTGTTTACCTGTGTTTTGTTTCTAATTGTTTTGTGTGTTTTTCTGTTTGCTTGCTGCGGGGCGTTGTGTGTTTTTGCCCTTTCACTGCTTTCAACTGCCTCATGGTGTGTGTGCGCTGCCGCTGCTGGGCTGCTGCCATTTGTGACTGTGCGGTGGCTGTGCGTGGTGTAGCGGCCGTGTCTCTTCTTCTGCTTCCGCTCTGCGTTGACGGGGAGTTAGTTTGTGCCGAAGGCTGCAGGCAAGTGACAGGAGTGATGGCGATGATGGCTGGCCGTGTGCTGCTGGTGTGTGCCCTCTGCGTGCTTTGGTGCGGTGCCGGCGGGGCTGATGCGAGTAATCTCGAGAACAACGCAGTTGGTGGCTGCATGGCGTCGTGGGTGTTGAATGCGAATAAATCGTATACGCCGAGCGGATGCGACAAAACGGCGCTGACGCTGCCTTTACGATCTGTCTTGTCCATCACTGCCGTTCCAGCTTCGACTGACCCATTGGTGACTGGTACAGCCGAAAATAAATCGGATTTGGCTCCAGGTTCAGGTGCTGATTTCGGTGATGCCGGTTCTCCTCCTGGTCGCGGAGGTGGAGGTGGAGGCGGTAGAGACGACGGTGCTGGCGGTCCTGGTGGCGTTGGAGGTGCCAGTGGCAGTCAAGCTCGTGGCAGCAAAGCTTCTGGTGGCGGTGGTGGTGGTTCAAATGGAGGTTCTAAAGCACGTGTTGATGGCTCTTTGAAGTCCCCTGCTTCGGATGTCAGGTCCCCATCTCCTGTTCTCGGTGATGGTGGCAGTTCTCCTGGGGCTCCTACGGGAAGTGTAGGTTCTGACGGAAGCAAAGGTTTCATTTGGGCTCCTTTTCTTCTGGTGGTCGCAGTCAACCTGATGTTGGCAGTCCAGGTGGTGATGCATCTTTGAGCGCTCCTGTTGCTGGTGGTAATTCCCCACCCTCCATCACCGACGAGAGTGATGCGTTGGAGAAGACCGGCGCTGCGGCATCCACAAAGGGAGGGGAGCCTCAAGAAGCAGGTGAGCAGTCAGGAGCAAATCGTGCACGGAGCGAATTGCCCGAATTGTCGGCACCAGCGGAGTCAACACCCGAAGCACAAGAAGACTCTCCCAGTAAACAAGAAAAACCAGAAAGTGAAGCTGCTGGTAGGGCGGCAACTGGAGAGGAGAAACGGCGGAGTGACGCGGAGGCACAAGGTCCTTCCACCGTGATGTCCACCGCCAGCACCAGCAACGGTAGGAGAAGAACGACCAACAGCGGTGGCAGTTCCGGCAGGAGGAAGCCCAACAGCACAAACAGACTCGCAAACTTTGACAGAAGAAAGGACAAAAACGCCACCGTCACCAAACAAAAAGGAGCCTGAAGAGACGGAACCTACTTCTGGAGATGGTGTGGCAGAGCAACAGGGTCAAGGCACTGTTTTACCGGATCTGAGGGGTGGACCTACCGGCAGCCCGGCGGAAGTAACGGCATCATCCATCTCTACAAGTGGCAGTGGTGATGGCCGGAGTAGGGCGGATGAGAATGACGACAACAGCAGAGGGCCCAACCCCGGAGGGCCACAGAACGACCCCGAAGCCAGCCATACCAACGTTGCGCCCACGGCCAGTGAGACAAAACCACGTACGGCGAAAGCAGCAGCTATCGCCAGAACAGATGGTACGGCAACACCTGGCGACAGTGACAGCTGCACCGCGGTCTCCCACACCACCTCCCCTCCTTTGATTCTTCTTCTTGTTGCGTGTGCGGCTGCTGCTGCGGTGGTGGCCGCGTGAGAGTGAGGGAGATAGAGCCGTGCACCGCACGCACACACACTCGTCCTTCTCACTCTCTGTGTGTGTCCCCTTGCATGGACTCTCGCCCTCACCTCATCCCACGAAGCACACACAATAATGTGCCCATTGTATATATGCATGCACACCCATGCAGGCCCGTTGGTGCTCTCTTTTGCACGACACGCACCGCTGCCGTCCTGCCTGGCTGCATGGGCGGAGCACCGTAACTGTTTCTGTTTTGTTTTCATTGCATTGAGTGGGCGACCTCTCTCTCTCTCCCTCTGTGTGTGTGTTTTGCTTTACGGGAGCAATGAGAGTGTGTGTGCGCTGGTCGTCCCACCTGTTGCTGCGCGTCCCCACTGCTGGGTGGACGCCCCCACGCTTCGACTTTTTTTTGTTGGTATTTTTTATCCTCTGCCTGTGTTGTGGTTGAGTGCACCCATTCCGCGGCTGCGTGTGTGTGTGTGTGTGTGCGATGATATAAGTAATTTGTGTGTGTGCTATCTGCCTCTCTCTGCCATTGCTTTCTTTTGGCTCTGTTGTGCCGCACAGCTGCTCTGCAATTATAAAGGCCGACAATCACATGCACGCACACGAACGCCCTTTCGTATCGTGCACGCTGAGAACGCAAATGATCCTGGCTGCGGCGGCCCTCACGATTGGGGAGGACGGGAGACCGCGATTTACCTTTTTGACGCAGTTGTTGTGTTTGCGGCGTGCGGCCGGTGAGTGGTGTGGCATGGAGAGTGCCTGGGACAAGTGCGGACTGTTTCCTGCCGTGCAGCTGCGCGTGCCGACGTGTCTCTCCCGCTGTGGATACGTCGGCCAGGGACTCTCCGGCTGTGCGGGGAGAGACAACAGTTGCAAAAAGACTGGCGGCAGCGCGTGTGTGCTGCGAAGGGCGGCTGCGCCACTTGGCATTCCGCTTTTTGTGTGTGGGCATTGCTTGGTGTGTACGGACGTGTGACGGACGACACACGCCGTGTCTTCTGCTGCTGGTGGTGACAGTCGCTCTGTTTTCCCGGTGCACTGTTCTTTCTTCTCCTGTGCCGTGTGTCTGTGCGCGTGAGTTGCTGTTGTGGGGATTGACTGCGGCGCGGATGATGGTGCCACTCACTATGGATGCTGGCGGTGCTTATTCCTTTGCTTCTTTTGGTGGCTTTTTTCCTCTTTTTATTTCCTGCTCACTATCTCACGAAGAAAGAAAACAAAAGCGCTAAACGCTACTGTGAAGTTGGAAGGCTCTGAAAGGACCAACAACACACACACACACCGCCCACGCACATATTTATATGCTCCCACGTGCTGCTGCGGTGAAGGCACCCCGCACACACAACCGTTGCCGCGTGACCGGATCCAGCGGAGGGAGGAGGGAAGGAAGAGAGAGTGAGCCGCAGAGGCCCAACACGTCCCGGCGTGTGTTTAATTCCGCGTGCTGCTCCTCCTCTTCGTGATGGTTTGCTTCTGCGGTGGAGGTGCCGCCGCTGTGGAGAACAGCGATTCAGTGGCGGATCCAACGTTTGAATGGAGGAGTACCACTGGTGATGAGGGTGTAACTGTGGACTCGTTGGGCGTTCCCGGCCTTCTAAAAGTGGGGACTGCCGTATTTGCCGTCGCCGAGGCGCAGTGCAAGAAAGGAGGTGAAGGCAGCTTTACAGGCATTGCATCCGAACTTCTCACGGATCCAACGGATAAAAAACCGGTGGAAGTACTGAATGAGGCCAAAAAGGATACACAAGTCCTGGAGGAGGGCGCTCCCGCAAAGAAAAAGAAAGTAGATGTGAGCCGACCAACAACAGTTGTGAATGGAACTGATATTTACATGCTTGCTGGAAAATACAGCCGGACAGCAGCTGCTAAAGACGCTCAGGAGAGGGGCGCAGGTGAGTGGGGACTTTTGCTGGCGAAAGGGAAAGTCAGTGATGGGGACAGTGGCAGTAACAAGAGAATCCGATGGAATGTGAACCAGCGACTGGTCGACACTCTCTTTAAGCGCGAACAGGATTCCTTGATGCAGCTGGTTGCAGGCGGTGGATCGGGTGTTAAGATGGAGGACGGTGCGCTTGTGTTTCCCGTGGAAGTAACGAAGAAGGGTGAATCAGAAAACGACGGAGAGGAAGGAAAGAGTGTCTCACTGCTCGTATACACTTCGGATACTTCGGATGATTCGAGTTGGAAGCTGTCGAAGGGGATGTCTGACGGTGGCTGCGGTGATCCCTCCGTCGTGGAGTGGGAGAAGGAGAAACTCATGATGATGACTGCGTGCGATGGCGGCCGCCGCAGGGTGTACGAGTCCGGTGACAAGGGGGGGTCGTGGACGGAGGCACTCGGGACACTCTCGCGCGTGTGGGGCAACAAACACGAGGAACAGACGAAACGTGTTGCGAGCGGGTTCACCACAGCGACTCTTGGAGATGACAACAAAAAAGTGATGCTCGTTACTCTGCCGGTGTATTCTAAGGAGAAGGGCAGCGAAAACAAGGAAAAGAGTGAACTCCACCTTTGGCTGACGGACAATACGCGCATTGCTGATATTGGGCCCGTGTCCGAGAAGGACGAAGACGAAGTTGCCGCCAGCTCCCTGCTGTACGAAAGTGCTGAAGGTGAAGATAATAATAAGGAGGAGGATAAGTTGATTGCACTGTACGAGAAGAAGAAGGGCGGTGAGAAGCCATCACACGGTCTTTGGTCTGTGCGTCTGACTGAGCAGCTGAAGCGGGTGAAGGAGGTGCTGGCGACGTGGAAGAAAGTGGACGAAGCTGTCTCCAAGCTGTGCCCCACTGCAAGTGCTGCGAAGAGTGCCTTGACTGAGAATGACTGCAGCGATGGGGAGATCACGGCTGGGCTGGTTGGCTTTTTGTCCGACAACTTCTCTGGGAACACATGGAGGGACGAGTACCTCGGGGTGAACGCCACGGTGAATCATAATGGTGGAGCTGAGAAGGCGAAAGACGGCGTGAATTTCCGGGGAGCGTGGGCGGAGTGGCCCGTTGGCAGGCAGGGGGAGAATCAGCTGTACCACTTTGCGAACTGCAACTTCACTCTTGTGGCGACGGTGTCCATCGAGAAGGCGCCGGAGGGAGACAACCCCATTCCATTGATGGGTGTGCGTGCGGGCAGTAAAGGAGAAACCAAACTTATGGAGTTGTCGTACAACAGCGGAAAGAAGTGGAAATTGTTTTGCGGTGGCGACACGACCAATGAGCTCAGCAGCCATTGGGAAGCAGGGACAGCACACCAGGTGGCCATTGTGCTACAGAACGGCACCCAGGGCTCTGCGTACGTTGATGGTAAGCGCGTGGGTGCTGCGCCATGTGAATTGGAAAATGCGGATTCGGAAGAGATCTCGCACTTCTACATTGGAGGGGTTGGAGACAGCGCAGAGGTCCAAGAAGTCGTGTCTGTGACTGTGAAGAACGTCTTTCTGTACAACCGCCCATTAACTTTTTCAGGTGGGGATGCCGATTTGGAAGAGGCTCCCCACTTACCACCGGCAAATCCGCAACCAACTGAGGCCGTTCCTCAATCGGTGGAAGGGGATCAAAAGGCGATGCCTCCTGCGGGTAAGCCTTCTGAAGCACCAGGGGAGCAAGCGACCTTGCAGCAGCCTCCAGAAGAGCGTGAAACACAGGAAAATACGACGGTGGGGGAATCTGCCTCCACACAGCAAGTGCCGGCGAATCGATCGCAGGGAAGTGTGGGGAGTGCGGCGGCTCTGAACTCCCATGCCGTTGGAGGAGCAACGGGTGATGGCGGCACTGTGCGTGGGAGCGGACTGCTGCCATCGCTGCTGCCGCTTCTGTTGGGACTGTGGGGGTTTGCGGCTCTGTGAGGAGTGGCTGGCTGCCGCGTGGGTCACTTGCGACCTCCGCTGCGGAGAATTACTTTTCCCCTGGAAGGAATTTCTTTTCTCATAAAACATCTTTTTTGTTGTTGTTTTTATAAATTCTTTTGTTTTTGTGCACTTTTTTTGTTTTTCTTGTGTTTTAATGTTTTCTTTTTATTTTGCTCCTCCCATCCCCCATCCATTTCTTTTTTGCTTTTGGGGGCAGTCACTGTGGACGTTTTTCTTTTCTACTCTTCCCTCTTTTAATTGTTTCTTCTGCACTCTTCCTGCGAGGGGTGCCGTGTGTTCCCGCCCAACTGCTCCACTCGCACACCCACCGACACGCTCACGACGACGGCCCTGTGCGCCTCGCCTGCTGCACGCATGAGGAGGGGCCGCGACGAACGGCGCGCTGCGGGAGCCGTGACGTGTGGGCGTGCGACGAGGGCCTGTGGGGCGGAGCACACATTTCTTCCCTCTTGTTTTGTTTTCTTTGCGGCCAGGGCTGGCAGACACCCGCAGCGCCACACACACAGCCACACCCTGCCGCCGTGTTTTTCTTTTCTTTTTTTTTTTTTTTTTTGCGCCGGCGCACCCTTCGGTGTCGGCCTCGTGAGCATTTCTTTTCTTCTCTGATGTTTTTTTCTTTTGCTGCGCTCACTCTCCCGATGGAGTGACGCGACTCCCGTCGTGTCTGCGTGCTTCTCTCAGTCCCCACACACGAGTGACTGTGCGCTGCGGGCCGCACTCACGCGCCGATGAGAGGGCTGAGGGGAGCAGCAACACGCAGATGACCGCATGAAATATAAACGATGTGCGGACACACGGAGGGTCGGACGGTCGAAGGACATTTAAATATCTTTTAGTTTTAATTTGGGCAAAATATACGGACAGTTTGGTGGGACTACAAGGCAGCCGGCTGCTTTTTTGAATTTGTGTGGAACAGTAGTGGACGATTTCTTTTTCTTTTATAATTATTTTGTGCGATGGGGTTTGTGTAAGACGAAGGGGGTGGTTTTCTTTTTGTTTTGAATAAATATTGTGTGAATCGCCACTGCTTGGGCTGCGGTGCAGTCATGAGTTTGAGCGGTCTTCTTCTCGTTGTTTCCGCCATGCACCTTCGCTGTACATTTTTAGTTTTGTGCGTCCCTCCACAAACTCCGCTCCCTCTTTTCTAATTCTTTGCTTCGTGTTTCTGCAGGCACACACAACCACACACACAAGACGCACATCGCAGTGGATTTGGATGCTCCTTTTGCAGTGCATGCTGGCAGTTGCGTGTGGCGGCCGTTGTCTTCTTCCGTGGCCATGAGGAGAAGGGAGGAGGGAGGGAGTGTGCAGCCCGAGTCTATTTTCCTGCGGGTGTGATGCACCGCGTGTGGCTGCGTTGAGTTGGGCTCCGTGTCGCTTTGAGGGCGGGATGGCTGGAATTTTGTTTCCGCCTCGTGGATGGATGAGGGTTCGCCTGCTCATTGTGTGACTGGTGTGGTGGCCGCGGGTTTTAGCCACTTCCCTGGGGCTGCGGGAATGAGCTGGGGGAGATGGTGGTGGATGTCTTCTTCTCCTGCATGGTGGGTGGCTGCTGGCGTTGTTTGCCTTCCTTGCGTGGACGCCGTCTCGTGGTGTGTGAACTGTGGGGCTGGGCCTGCTGTCCTCTCCTCATGTTGTCTGCTCTCACTCGTTGTATCCGCTGTGCCCCGTCCCTCTCCCTCTTGTTGCATTCCTTTTCCTTCTGCCTCACGGATCAGCTGACTGACTGCAGCGACTCCACTACGAGTGATGACTGCGATGGTGACGATGGTGACGGTGCGGCGCCGTGTTGGTCCTTGCGCCCTTGTGCTGCTGCTCGTCCGTGTGCGTGACGGCTGCTGGGAGTGCTGGAGATGTATCTGGTGCTTCGGATGCGGTGGTTGTGCCGGTGGATGTGTCGTGTGCCCTCAGAGTGACGGCAGCCTGAGCTGTCGCGTGTGTGTGGGCGTGGAGGAATTGTTTCGCTGCCAGTGCCGAGGCTCAGTATGAGAATTATACTTTCAGTGGCTTTGATGTGCACATGCATGGCAGGAATGGTGAGCTGGGCGCTGTGTGCCATGTGGTCAATGCGGTGCACACATCTAGCAGCTGTGCAAGGAAAGAGGAAGGGGCCACCGTTGCCTTCACGATGAATGTGACGGCACATAAATACGCCGGCCTTATGAATTGTGGTGGCGTCAATTTCTCCCCGATGGAACCATCCATCCGCCCGCACGGAGCAGCGATGCTGACCGGACGGGCATCTGTCAGTTGCCGCCGCCCCGTGAAGAGAAGGACGAGACAAAATCTGGTGGGACAACTGCGTCGCAAGTTAATGCTGAGCCGTCACGTCAGAACGAGGATTGGCGACGGTCTGCGGTGGCTGACGGACCCAACACCGTCGATCGGAGTCCCGCATCCAACACGGCGACCAACACGTCCGAGACGAGGCCTGAGTTTGCCACCAATCCGAGCGAAGTGATGGTCCCGAATGCTTCCAAGAAGAGGCCTTCCTTCGCCAACGGTCCGAGAATATTAGTGGCGTCGAATGCATCCGGGATCACGTCTGTCACTTGTGGCGGCAGGGAACACGTTGCCGCGGATAACACGGACGAGGTGAGTGAGCGCAGCGCCACTGGACACAAAACTCCTTTCTTCAGAAAATGGCGCTGCAGGCAGTGGATTTGTTGCTGAGGGTGATGCGGGCGGATTGACTCAACGCCATGCCTCTGGACACGAAAGCAAACCCCTATCACAAAAACTCACCGCGCAGTATTCCGGGAGCGGTGTGGGTCTACACGACTGCTTTGCCCAGCGCTGCGACGCGAAATTGACACTGCGAGAGTTAACTGTTTCCAGCAGTGCGCGTGTGTGCGTGTATTGGGCGTTGCTGCTTTTTATTGTATTGTGTGGGGTTGTGGCAGTCTTGTGAGCCAAAGAGTGTGGAATTGCGAATTCTCACGGAGAACATGTGCCGCGCTCCCTGCGTGATTTCTTTTAATATTTACATCTTACTGTTGTTTTTTGTTGTTTTCCTGGAATGATAAGTATCCTTGCTGTTCCTTTATTTAATAGTTCGTTCCTGCACACCGTCATGAGTGACGTGATTCCCCTCTTTCTGTTTGCTTGTTTGTTGCCCACACGCGGCGCCGGCCTCATTGCTGTGCGTCCCACGGACTGCACGAAATAATGAGTGGAGGAGCAGGCCGGATGCCGCGTGAAATGTGAGGGATGTTTTGTGGGCTGGTGGAACAATAACGTGGTTTTCTTTTTTCTTTTTACTGCTGCAGGCATTATGAACATACAGAAGCACATGGTCGTTTTGTGCTGCTTGGCACATGAAATAAAAGTCCTGCCGAAAGAATTTTATTTATTTTTTTGGGAGTCCCGCTGGAATCTAAACCTCGGTTGTTTTTTATATTTCTGTTTTGCGGGGCGTTGTGTGTTTTTGCCCTTTCACTGCTTTCAACTGCCTCATGGTGTGTGTGCGCTGCCGCTGCTGGGCTGCTGCCATTTGTGACTGTGCGGTGGCTGTGATGACACACCGCAGACTTTACTTTCTGGCTCTGGTGGCGGCACGGTTGTTGGTACTGGTGGTGGGAGAATACTGAGGACGGCTCTGGTGTGTTGGGTTGTGCCACTGAGGCCAAAAGGATGGGCATCGTTTAGGGGAGACGGACAATAATGCGGCAGCGGTAACGGGGGAACTGTCCGAAACACGCATCCCCGAGTCGTCGATGGAAGAACCGTCCTTGCCACCACCGCTGCAGCCGGACTCGGAAATAACGTCTCCTCAAGGGCCGGATGAAGCCGCACCAGCGAAGGGCATAACCCCCGCAGTGCAGCGGATGAAAAGGGTGCGGCCGATTTGGGCGGCACGCGGATCGCATCCCGTGAGGCTCCCGTCACGCAGTCCACATCATCGGGCACTCCAACTGGCCCCACTGCTGCTGCAATGACGCCTGCAAACAGACAGGGTGACGATTCCGCTGATACTCCAACAGCACGTAAAAAAGATTTGAAAGCAACCGAGCGCACCGCCAGCAGTGATGCGCTGAATACTCGGGAGAGTGACAGTAGCCCGCAGTTATTCCAGCCACACAGCCTTACGCCAATACGGGCAGGACGGGGGTCTTTGACGTTGAGAGCAGCTCCGGGAGAGTTGAACCCGCCGCCTCCACAGACGACGAAGAGAATGATACGAAGTCATAACTTCAGAGCGCATCCGACGGCACGGGCACCGCGGCAGACAACAGTGAGGGGTTCACAACAATACCAATAACGCCACTAATAAAATGAACGTCTGACGACAGTGACGGCAGCACCGCGGTCTTCCACACCACCTCCCCTCTTTTGCTTCTTCTTCTTGCGCGTGTGCTGCTGCGGTGGTGGCTGCGCTTCCCGTGGACCAACAATCCACGTGATGTGCGGGGATCTATTCTTGTCATGGTTAATTTGCTGTTGTGTTGCTGTGTGCGCTGCACCTATTCTCGTGTGTGCGTGCCGCTCCTGTTTGCTTCTCCCTCCTCCATCTGTGTGTTGGTGTTGCGGCAGGGCTGTGTGTGTGTGCCTGCTGCCGTGGATTGGAGTGTGTGTTGTGCGTGGTGTGCGGCGTACGGTGCATGCCTGGCTGCTGCCCTCTCCTCATGTGTGTGTTTGCCCTCTGTGTGTGTCTGCCGCACCTCTCGTCTCCCCTGCTGCTCTCCATGTCCTCCACTGTGCAGATCAGCTCCACACCACTGAATGACCACACTCACGATGATGACGTGCCGTCTGCTGTGCGCCCTGTTGGTGCTTGCCCTGTGCTGCTGCCCGTCCGTGTGCGTGACGGAGAGTAGCGGAGAACAAGATGGACTCAGTGGTTCACAGACTCCTCGGCCACCGGAAGCAACCGGTGCAGGGCCAACACATACTTCCACGGGGTCAAGTTCAGCAGATCCGGAAGTTACGTTACCGGGAACCCAAAGTTCGGACAGTAAAGGACAACCATCAGACATGAGGAATAATACCGGAAATCAGGACAGTAAGGGACCCGCTCCGCCACGGGACTCAGTTCCAACAGGTTCGGCGTCTGGTACAGAACAGGGACAGGATAGATCCGGTGGGTCAGGGAGTTCAGGTACGACGGCCGATACGGTACAGAAAAACAGTGACAACGATACGACAGACTCAACACGTGGCAATAATTCATCCACGGAACAAACAAATACGAATGCCGGCGATACGGCCGAGAAGACCACGGCGACCACTACTACTACCACTACTACGACAAGCACGACGACAACTACAACACAGGCACCAACTACCACCACCACTACGACTACGGAGGCGCCAACTACAACGACGACCACTCGCGCACCGTCACTTCTTCGCGAAAGCGACGGCAGCCTCAGCAGCTCTGCGTGGGTGTGTGCCCCGCTGCTGCTCGCCGTATCCGCGCTGGCGTACACCACTCTGGGCTGAAGAATTGTGTGCGGGCTGTGCGTGCCAGCACCCAACTGCGGGGACTTGTGTGCGTCCACAGTGGTCCGATGTACTAAACAGGATAAAATAATGATTGTGTTTTGCTTTGCTTGCTTCCGCTGCCCTGCCGTGTGCTCCTTGCCGCTCCCCGCATCCGTCACGTTGAACGCACCCCAGACACACTCATGTGCATGGCACGCACACAACTGATTGCGTGGAGTCGCATTTGAGGATGGGTGCGTGCGCGCTGGAGCCATACTGTGCAGCCCTTTGTTTGTGTGTGTTGACATTTTAACTTCATTGCTGTTTGTTTACCTGTGTTTTGTTTCTAATTGTTTTGTGTGTTTTTCTGTTTGCTTGCTGCGGGGCGTTGTGTGTTTTTGCCCTTTCACTGCTTTCAACTGCCTCATGGTGTGTGTGCGCTGCCGCTGCTGGGCTGCTGCCATTTGTGGCTGTGCGGTGGCTGTGCGTGGTGTAGCGGCCGTGTCTCTCCTTTTGCTTCCGCTCTGCGTTGACGGGGAGTTAGTTTGTGCTGAAGGCTACACGCAAGTGACAGGAGTGATGGCGATGATGATGACTGGCCGTGTGCTGCTGGTGTGTGCCCTCTGCGTGCTGTGGTGCGGTTTTTCTGGAATTGCGGCCGACGGTGCTGGCGGTGTTCCTGATGGCAGTGCGGGTGAGTGTTTGTTTTCTCGTTGGCGCGCTCAGCTGCGGAGGGAATGCGCGGATGAGGTCAGCAGGAGGACAGGAGGCCGTGCGAATGCGTCCGCCGTTGAGGAATGCATGCGTCAGAGGATGGACGGTGTTCTTGCCGTTGTGGATGGCCGTCGTCGTTGGAGGCGTCAACGTCCTGCCGTTGCTGCTGCTGCTGAGAACGCCGATGAGCTTGGCACGGAGAACACCTCCAGTGAAAGGAACGTTTTGTCGGGAGGTAATGGGTCGGGGTCTGAAGATGCGCACGTACGAGGGGGGATTTACATTCTGAATCACGTGACGGTGTTGTACGACCAGAAGGTGCAACATCGGAGGAATTGAATGCGAACTCCAATTCTCGCACGGAGGCGTTGCCCACAAAAGAAATAAGGCAGGTCATCCCCGAAAGTATTTCACCTGTAAGTTCACCAGACAGTAAAGAAGTGGAAGAAGATACCGCAGGTAAGGATGATAAAACGCAGGAAATATTAGTTAGCGGTGAACAGCAGGCACTCCAGTCATCTTCTTCTCTAGGAGGGAATTCTCCTGCTAGCGACCAGGGGGCGGAACTCACTGCGGCAGAGAATCCCCAAAATGATAAGAAAGGGGAAGCGGAAAAAGAAAAAAATTTTTCGGACAAAAACGTACCAACAGGAAGTGGTCCATCTGCCACAAATTCCAATGACAATGCACCAACTAAACTTCAAGCGGACACAACTCTACCGTCACCTCCCAATGAGAATATTTCTGCCACACATCACACCGACGAGGGTGCTGCGAAGACGATTCTGGACGCTACTCCTCTTTCTGGTGCCGCAGTGACAGAAGAAAATCCCACACTTCGGCACACGACGGATCGTCCCATACAAACAACACAAGTTGAAGCCACCTTTGCCAAAACCGAAAATAACGCGGCACCGCGCGACAGTAGCAGCAGCACTCAAATCTCCAAGGGTGCAAGCAGCACTTCCAATGAAAGCGTGGCACAAAACGCTGTGGATACAGAAGTTGAAACAACGCCGGATGGCACAAACAACACAGCGTCTGACAGCAACGATTCCACAAAAGCACCAGACAACGCCACTGATAAGATAAACACGGTGACTCTCACCGACGGTGATAGCTGCACCGCGGTCTCCCACACCACCTCCCCTCCTTTGCTTCTTCTTGTTGTTGCGTGTGCGGCTGCTGCTGTGGTGGCCGCGTGAGAGTGAGTGTGAGAGAGCCGTGCACCGCACGCACACACACTCGTCCTTCTCTCTCTGTGTGTGTGTCCCCTTGCATGGACTCTCGCCCTCACCTCACCCCACGAGGCACACACAATAATGTGCCCATTGTATATATGCATGCACACCCATGCAGGCCCGTTGGTGCTCTCTTTTGCACGACACGCACCGCTGCCGTCCTGCCTGGCTGCATGGGCGGAGCACCGTAACTGTTTCTGTTTTGTTTTCATTGCATTGAGTGGGCGACCTCTCTCTCTCCCTCTGTGTGTGTGTTTTGCTTTACGGGAGCAATGGGAGTGTGTGTGCGCTGGTCGTCCCACCTGTTGCTGCGCGTCCCCACTGCTGGGTGGACGCCCCCACGCTTCGGCTTTTTGTTGTGGGTATTTTTTATCCTCTGCCTGTGTTGTGGTTGAGTGCACCCATCTTACTTTTTTTGATTGCTGGTTTGCTTTGACTGCGGACGCCTGATTCCTCTTTGTGTGTTCTCACATTGTTTTCTTTCTCCTTCTAAAGGTGTCGGCCACTCGTATCCTTGTAAAGCCACCACGTCCTTTCTTTTCCACATACGCCATGCGTCAGTTGATCCACGTCACCCCACGGTCTGCAGCGCTGCTGGAGCTGCTTGTGATGATGCCTGCGACGGGAATTGCCAGCGAGTGCTTTGCTGCCACCCTGACGTATCCTTTGCTTCCTTGACGATGTAGGGCGTACCGACTGCGCGCGGGCGTCTGTGGTGCTGGTGAGGCACGTGCGTCTCAAACCGTATGATGCGTCGCAGGTGTGCAGCGTCGTTTCGAAGCACCAATGGGCGTTTCTACTCATCATGGCGTCCACAACGGATCCGGATGGCAGCAGGAGGCACTGCGGTTCCTCCTGGTGTTGCACAGCGACTTTGTTGGACGGCGCGCTTGATTGGCGTCTACTGGGGCTTTTGTGGGGGGAAGGTGGGAGGTTGAGGGCATTAGGACTGAATTGTTTTGAGTGGCTGCGTTCCGTTGACTTGCGGCCGGTCGTTGCACTCTTTTGGGGTTTGGCGGCCCGTCTCTTTTGTTTACTTCCCACCGCAGCACGTGGATAACACTGGTCCGAGGAACACTTGTTTGACGGGTGTGAGCTGCTGCCGTGCGTGGTGCATGGACTATTTGATTGTGTGGGGAGGTGCATGGAGTGACGAATACTTCTGTTTGGCGTGTCGCGGTGTGTTGGAATGATGTTCGGAAAACATGTGAGGGGTGTTGTGTGTAGTTTGCGCGTCTTCTCTGGTGGAGCCGACATGTGTGCGGGATTGTGGCATTGCTGGCTGACGGTTCCACGTCACTTTTCGGCATTCCTGGATGTGCTGAGGAATGACGGCTGGCGACCAGCGTGTTGGTGCTGCTGGTGGGAATAAGTGCGCTAGAAATTGGCCATTTTCTCTTTCCCATGCTGGAGCCGATGAACTGGCACGAGGGCACCGGCTGCAGGCTGCCTGCCAGCACGTGTGAGCAGCGGATCCATGCACACACAGACGCTCATCGCAAGAGCTTGTGTGGTCACAGTGGCTTTTGTGGCGTGCTTTTGTGGGCGTCAGCCCGTCGGAGAATGTGTGAAGCAAACGGCTGACTGCACACGAGGAAAATAAGTGCGTGCACTGTGCCGTGTTTCGGCGTCGATGGCAGAGCGGCAGGAGGCCCGTACTGGCAACTGAGATCTTTGCGTGGCGAGGGATGTCGGTGTTGATTTTGGATCGTCGAGGGTGAAATGAATTTGCTGCTGCCCGTGTGTGTGGCCACTCCGGCGGAGGGCGAACACAAAAGGGAGGGATGCAGGCGCTGCGTGTGTGTGTGCAGGTGCCATGCAACAACGTCACAACAAATACGCTGCGACTCGGTGACCCTCACATCGCTGTGGTCCTGACGAACAGCCCAGGCACGGTCCACATCGATGCACTTAGTGGACGGAGTGAGGCATCTTTTGAGGCGCTGCAGGGAGCAGGATGTGTTGACGCAGCCACGACGTGCATGGAGTGTCACGATGGCACGGCCGGCTGTGGCTGGTGGAATAATTACTTCTCGGAGGCAACAGAGAGAGCTGCTGCTGCTGCTCCTGACGTTGCTGCCTTTTGTGGCCTCCCATGCCGATTATTGTCTGTCCGCTGATCATGGGTGGTGTGCCTCCACTAGTGACGTCGTCTGCAGGCATTTCACAGCACCAGCGAAACACACGTCACGTCGCATGCTTTGGCTGTGGGTATGGTGTCGTGAATGCAGCCGGCATTATTTTGCCCGACTCCTTTTCACTGCCTTGCGACAAATAGATGCGTCGCCGCCCGAGTCATTCGCTGCAGCTCCGTGTGTTGTACTGCCAGCACAAGACTCTCGTGTTGTCTGGCGCCTGGCTGACAGTCAAGCACCACTGCGCTGGGACACGCAAGGATGTGGACTGCCGCTCACGGTGTTGGGCACCGCTGTTTGGATGCGGCGGCCACACGAGCGGATGTATTGTGGCACAATGAAATGCGTGAAATACGCGGAACCACAGCGGTTGCAATAATATCGACGGTGTGGCGCCACGGAGTATGTGAGGGGTGATGCATGATGAATCAGAGTGGGCGGCATGCGAGGGAAGTGCACCGCGACGGAGCGTCGCCCCGCCCTCAGCCTGCAGGGGAATGTACGCCCACAAAATATATGGTCGAGGCACCACCAAACACGCATGCCCTTCTGTGCAGCAATAAATAGGAGCGAAGGTGCGTTCTGGTGCGTGGGAGCCCACTCACATATTCCCATTTCCACAGCAATAAACGGCGAGGAATCAGGTGCCACAGCAACGAAGGAGGAAATAAAAACATCTATTGCAGCACTTTACCGGCGAAAAGCGGGAACAACACAAATTGAATTATTGGCTGCACCAACACAATAAAAATTCACAAGAGAAGGAAACAGTTGTGCACACTGCGGGAACCCCAACACACGATGCAGGCATGAAGGTTTGCCCTCCGCAAAAACAATAGCAACATATGCAGACATCCTCCACCCTCCAGAAAGAAACACAAATAAATGGCTGCTTTATTCCATTCCTCGCGCTTGACTTTGCGTGTGCTGCTGCTGCTGCGGTGGTGGCTGCGCTTCCCGTGGACCAACAATCCACTTGGTGTGCGGGGATCTATCCTTTTTCGATGGTTACTTTGCTGTTGTGTTGCTGTGTGCGCTGCACCTATTCTCGTGTGTGCGTGCCCTCCGTGAGGGGTGCAGACACGACGGACCGCTCTCGCCGTATGTGCATGCGGTGGAGCCTTGTGTGCCGCTCCTGTTTGCTTCTCCCTCCTCCATCTGTGTGTTGGTGTTGCGGCAGGGCTGTGTGTGTGTGTGCCTGTTGCCGTGGATTGGAGTGTGTGTCGTGCGTGGTGTGCGGCGTACGGTGCATGCCTGGCTGCTGCTCTCTCTTCTTGTGTGTGTTTGCCCTCTGTGTGTGTCTGCCGCACCTCTCGTCTCCCCTGTTGCTCTCCATGTCCCTCACTGTGCAGATCAGCTCCACACCACTGAACGACCACACTCACGATGATGACGTGGCGTCTGCTGTGCGCCCTGTTGGTGCTTGCCCTGTGCTGCTGCCCGTCCGTGTGCGTGACAGCGACTAGTGGAGATCAAGTTGGGGACAGCCCCAATTCAACGGCTGCTCAGCAACCGGGAGCAGATGATTCAGAGGCAACAAAAACTTCCACGGCGCCAAATTCGACAGGTCCGACCGTTACGTTACCGAAACTCGAAGATCCGGACAGTCAGCAACCCGCTCCGGCAGGGAGTCCAAATACAGAAGGTCCGGAGTCTATTCCAAAAGAGGGAGCAGGTCCGGGCACCGATGGGTCAGGGTCGCCAGGTGGGTCAGTTAGTCCAGCTGCAGCATCGTCAATTTCCGTGACCGGTACGGTACCGGCACAAAGTCAGAAGGAAAATGCGCCAACAACAACAACCACGACTACGACAAAAGCACCAACTACCACCACCACTACGACTACGGAGGCGCCAAGCACGACGACGACCCGCGCACCGTCACTTCTTCGCGAAAGCGACGGCAGCCTCAGCAGCTCTGCGTGGGTGTGTGCCCCGCTGCTGCTCGCCGTATCCGCGCTGGCGTACACCACTGTGGGCTGAAGAATTGTGTGCGGGCTGTGCGTGCCAGCACCCAACCGCGGGGACTTGTGTGCGTCCACTGTGGTCCGATGTGCTAAACAGGGTAAAATAATGATTGTGTTTTGCTTCACTTGCTCCCGCTGCCCTGCTGTGTGCTCCTTGCCGCTCCCCGCATCCGTCGCGTTGAACGCACCCCAGACACACTCATGTGCATGGCACGCACACAACTGATTGCGTGGAGTCGCATTTGAGGATGGGTGCGTGCGCGCTGGAGCCATACTGTGCAGCCCTTTGTTTTGTGTGTTTACATTTTAACTTCATTGCTGTTTGTTTACCTGTGTTTTGTTTCTAATTGTTTTGTGTGTTTTTCTGTTTGCTTGCTGCGGGGCGTTGTGTGTTTTTGCCCTTTCACTGCATTCAACTGCCTCATGGTGTGTGTGCGCTGCCGCTGCTGGGCTGCTGCCATTTGTGACTGTGCGGTGGCTGTGCGTGGTGTAGCGGCCGTGTCTCTCCTTTTGTTTTCTGTGCTTTTGCAGGCGGCTCCACAGCGTTGGGCGACTCCACTGTTTGTGATGATGACTGGCCGTGTGCTCTGCGTCCTGTTGGCTCCTGCAGCGATGTGCAACAGCTCGTGCGTGTTTTTGACGGCTGCTGCGACGGCGTGTGTGTGCGGCCCGCTGGTGATGGCGCGGTGACTGCTGAGCACGCGCGGGCTGTGATGGCTGCGGAAGGAGGACCGTGGCCGGTGGCTCTGGACGAAAGGGGAACGTGAACTCTGAGGTTGACAGCAATCAGGAAGACGAGGAGGGTGGAGAAAACACGGCGGGTGAGGACCCCAATCCCACCGCCGCAGGACCACTCACTGCTCCGACGAGGCAGGATCAATCCTGCAGCGACCCACTGCGAAGTAACAATTGCAATCCGTCCGGCACTGGCAGTGCCTCTGCCGCTCAGATGCGTGCAAATGGACCGGAGTCTTTGGGCGGAGGGCACGCTGGTGGCGGGAGGACCTCCCAGGGAAGTGAGACTTCGGAAAAAACCGTCACGGGACAGTCACGGTGCCAGGGACGGCAAAGGAAACACCGCAAGACGATGAAGGAGGAGAACCCGGAGCGCAACACGAGGCCGACCAAACCACGAAAATGGCTGTGATGACTTGTTGCGCAAAGCAGCAGTGGAGCAGGAGGGTCACCAGCGAGATCGCAAGGTGCGCCACGACCCGATGGTGGCGAGAATGCTCATTATTATTTTTCCTACTCTTACCGGCGCGTCTAGCCGCACGATGCCATCTGGGTGCCGAGGAGGCGGTTGAGCAGCGGAAAAAGCTTCCTGCTGTGAAGCAACTGCCACTGAGAGAACTTTTTGCTGCGTGGATCTTCCTGAATGACCAGCCGTTGGCGCGCAGCGGAGGTGCCTGGGCATTCTAGAAGCAGATGGCGAAAGGTTTCCTGCGTGTCAACTGGCGTGCCTGTGGAGGTTGGCTGATCCTGCAGTGGCAGAGACCGCTTCCTGGCACCACAGAGCGAGTAGCGGTGAGTGTCTTGGCGAATGGTACAACGCCACTTGTTGCTGGGCTGGGCAGTAAAGCATGTCAGCGGGTCCGTGTGCCATATGGGCGCGATTCCATGTTCCGTGTGTTGTCCGGTTGCCATGGTCTGCGTCGCATGCTGAGCCGCAGGCTCATTAGCATGCACTCCACAATGTCCGTAACAAAACTGCCGGTGCACGGACCGGCCGGCACGCATCAGTGTCAAGAGACGCTGCCAGATCCGGTCCTTGTTGAGGGCCGCTAGGAGAGACTGGCTTTGTGTCGCCACAAGCGGGGTTTTTATGCCTGTGGTGGATCCGAGGGATAATCAGCCACTCCAGGGCCAGGAGCAGCGCACTGGATTCCGTCCTGCAGCTTCAGGGGCGTGTGCCGCAGTTGTTACTTACTTTCTCTATTATCTGCGAGGAATGCAGGGATGAAGGCGGTATGCCAACGCAGGCTGGCGCGGGAACGTCGAAATCGCCATCCGTTGCGAGTATCCACGAGCGGTGGCTGTGCAGCGCTGGAGCCTCTTCGCGGACTCTGCGCATTTCCCTTATCAGTTCTTTTTCGTCGGTGATTGAGTGGTCTATCGGAAGTTCCACACCGATGGTGACCCGGTGAGCGGAGGCCGCAGACCAGGGAGGAATGGAGCCACGAAAGAACCGCTCTTCGCGTGGTGAGCTCTCGGTGATGCCGTAGCCCTTTGCGCATGCGTCTACGAAGGCATATGGCTCGTGCCGAGACAACGGCGGGATGCGGAAACCAGCGCAAGGCGAAGGCTCAGACGTTGATCTCCGCTTCCAGTCCATCTGACAATTGCGTGTGTTATCAAACACGGAGAGCCGCACGCAGGCATAGGACATGGAGCGGCGGTATATTTGCTTCTAGGAGTGCGGATTACTGGTCGACAGTGCTCGGAACTCCGCTCACAATGCGTGCCAGACCTGCGTACGTCTCTTGCATCTCATTCTTCGCTGAATCCGTCGCTACTGCCCATATGAGCTCGCTGCCGTAGCGCAATTTGGATGCGCCGTATCCGATGATGAACGTGCGTGGGTCATGTGGAGATGGCCCCGCCTCTTTGTGCGCAATGCGGCGTGGCTGCGATATCCGTTGCGAGGCGGCCGCCATATTTAGCGTCAGTTGCGGATCGAGATCCATGTCGAGAAGCTTCGCAGTTCGCGATGCCCCCATGGTCATGACTGGGATTTTACATCCAGCCACTACCAGCGGCCGCTTTCCTTTGCGATCATAGTTTGACTCCGTGTGCGTGGAGAGTGTGAACCAAGCGGCTTTGCATTTTGACGGGTTAATGGTCAGGCCACTTTACCGAGCCCTCGCGTGCAGTTTTTTGGGGACCGTGTTGGCTGCGGGAATGGTGTCTTCCCGAGGGTGGCCGTTGATTACAATGGAGAGATCGTCCGCGTGCATGTCTGCTGTGACGCCTGAGAAGCCGTTCAGCAGATTGAGAAGTGGGTGTGCGTAAAGGGACAAAAATGTGTTCCCAATACGGACCCCTGAGGAACTCCTCGCAGCGTGGAAGACCGATCGCCGTGTCTGTTGCCAACTCGTGTCTTCGCGTAGCGGCCACGCAGAAATTTTCCAAGCCACCTTCGGCAGTTCACCCCCGGAATATTGGCCGGCAAGCGACTGAGGACTCGATGAGCAATGAGCTCAAAGGCCTTGCTGGAGTCTACCAGCACCAACGGAGCCCGATGGGGTCTGCAGTGGAGCTGGCTTCCAGCACCGCTCTTCTTGGGAAGGTTCGCTTGGAAATAATCGGTTCTGTTATGCTCCACTTCGTGTATCAGGTGTGCCAGCTGCATCGTCGTGGTACGCATACTACGGCACGCATGCTGGTGGGGACGAGGCGTCCACAGCCAAAGCAGTCTCCTCAATGCCATTTTCTCAGCAGCCTTACCCACGATGGAAGGAGGGCTGATGGGTCGATATGACTCCGTTAGCGCCGGCGAATTACCGGGTTTCAGGACTGGGACGATGGTGGCTCGTCGCCACTGGACCGGAATTGTGCCGGCTGTCCGGCTGTGGTTGATGCAGCGGAGAGGGAATCGGAGACACTTCGTCGAAAGATGTGGTAGCGCCCCGCTGTAGACTTCGTCCGCTCCGGGGCCTTGCCGTACGGTGTGCTGCGCAGCGCTGCACGCAGTTCCGTACGATTAAAAGAGGCATCCAGAGAGAGGGGAGAGAAGGAACCTATCGAAGATGAGGCGGCCGACTCGTTGTTGTTCTGCGGCCTAAGAAGGGGAGGGAGAAGAAATACACAAGGACTTGTTTTCCCCGTTTTTTCCCGTTGGAAGACCCAATCGCCTTGCGAGGTGGGGAGGAATCCAAGATTGAGCGCATCCGCTGCTCTCCTTGCTGTCCTGAAATTATTATTGCGGCCATCGCACATCAACGCCGTTGTGGGAGACGGAATTGATGTCTTTTTACGTCCGGAATGTATTTTTTAGGCGAGTGGTTTGCCTGGGTTTAACTTGCTGATGCGACGCCGATATTTGCTGCGCGGGCGCTCACTGAGTAGGAGGAAGAATTGGCTCCTTGCCCGTTGCGTCTCTGCTTCACGGTCGGGCGTCGGTAACTGCAGACAGCGGGCCTTGCTGTCGGTAGCAATCCGCTCTGCCTTCGCAAGGGTGTCGCCCCGGAGCTTGGGATCATCCTTGTGCATGCCGCGGGGTCAATGCCGTCGAAGTGAAACTGCAAGTGCTCTCGTAAAAGCTTTGATGCCGGTTGATTGCTTTTTATGGTCGCATGCTGGAAGTTGTGCGTCGAGGTCGTTGGCGAAGGACTCCCACTTGGATTTCCACCAGCTGTAGAAAACTCGACGTGCCGAAGTGGGTGCCGAGGGCATGGTATCCTTAAATGCCTGATGCAGCGTGAATGTCAACACATAGTGGTCACTGAGCGGCGGCACATTGGCTCTCCAGTCGGACACGGTAAGATGCCTTGACCATGTCCGGTTGATACAGGATCTCTCTCTTGCACCACGAGCATGCTTTGTTTCACCAGGGGTGTTAACCAAGGTGCGTCCTGCATCCGTGCGCGGTTGTATAAAATTCTACAGCGGAGTTGCTTGGAGGGGTCTCCAGGAAGGGCTCCCACCGTGGGCGACGCACGTTGAAATCTCCACACGGAATGAGCGGCGACGAGACCGAGAGGCAGCTCAGCAACCGCCTAGGGGTTGTGTCGGTTGCGGCGGTGGTCTCATATAGGTGCTCGCTACAATAAGATCACGGTTCTGGCCCAGCGCGAATTGGACCACCACCACGTCGAGGCTGGAATCACGTTGAGGAGTGATGAGGGGCATACGCTTGGAGCGGAGGTTTTTCCGCACCAGCACCGCCGCAACACATTCCTTGCGGATACGTGATTGTGCGTGGAGCACACACTCTCCAGTATGCATGCTGGCGATCTGCTCCGACGACTTCCAGGTCTCCTGGATGGCTATCATGTCTGCTCCTTGCGCCATTAATGTTGCGGGTTTGGCCGGCGCCAGTGAGGGAACGGTCATCTGGAGTGCTGCTATGGGGCTCGGGCTCCGCTCAACGTCTCCGCCTCGCAGTAGCTTTTGCCTCTGTGCGTCACATACGGCACGCAGACGACACGTGTAGCGCTGGTAAGCGCCGACGAAATCCGGCAGCAGTGAAGCCCGCTCGTCCGTCGCATCGTCTGAATCCCACTTGCTGCGATCCCCACTGCCGTCTGCACACTTCGTGCTTGCGTGCCCCCTGGTGACCGGGATATGGTTTGGCCCTTCACGCTGTATGCGCTTGAATTGTCCTTTCGCGACTCTTCGCTTGTCTTGGCCCTGGCCCCGGCGGTGTATTGAATGCGTTGCTGCGCCATCTTGTACCCGCAGCCCGCTGCTCGCTCAGAACGATGAGTGGCACCTCCCTTGCTGACGGCAGCCTGCGAAGTTCCTGGGAAACGGGGGACACTACTCGCATCCGCAGACACGGGAAGAACGCATGCCGCACGGAGAGTTGTCGGCCCCTCCCGCTGCTCTCTGTCCTGCTAGGGGTGAGCGAAGGACTGGTCCACCGCCGCCTGTCAGCGCTGCCGGCACGCCACCGACTGTCAGCGCTGCTGGCACGCCACGACGTCAGCCTCGATTAACGCCACGACGCACGGTCTCCGACGTGGTGACGCCTGTCCGTGACAAAACGGCACGAGGGCTGAGCGAGCGCATCGCCGTGGAGTGTGGGCGTCGCAGGGGCGGCGTCCCGCGCTGCACCGTCGCCGTCGCCGCTCTCTCGCGGTCCCGACCGGCATCTCGACTGCGTTCGACACCGTTGACGATGGGCGAGTGCTGGCTGTGCCCTGCGGGCTCCCGCGCCTGTGCTGTCGAGCCCAACACTGGTTGCGCAGCCACCTGGGAGGCGGCCGCGTTGGGGTGAGTGATCGCGAACAATATTTCCGACAGTAGCTCGCCTCAGCCGGGGCAGCCCACTGCAGCACGCGGACAACACTGGTCCGAGGGACACTTGTTTGATGGGTGTGAGCTGCTGCCGTGCGTGGTGCATGGACTATTTGATTGTGTGGGGAGGCGCATGGAGTGACGAATACTTCTGTTTTGCGTGTCGCGGTGTGTTGGAATGATGGTTGGAAAACATGTGAGGGGTGTTGTGTGTAGTTTGTGCGTCTTCTCTGGTGGAGCCGACATGTGTGCGGGGATTGTGGCATTGCTGGCTGACAGTTCCACGTCACTCTTCGGCATTCCTGGATGTGCTGAGGAATGACGGCTGGCGACCAGCGTGTTGGTGCTGCTGGTGGGAATAAGTGCACGAGGAATTGGCCATTTTCTCTTTCCCATGCTGGAGCCGATGAACTGGCACGAGGGCGGCGGCTGCAGGCTGCCTGCCAGCACGTGTGAGCAGCGGATCCATGCACACGCAGACGCTCATCGCAAGAGCTTGTGTGGTCACAGTGGCTTTTGTGGCGTGCTTTTATGGTCGCCATCCCGTCGGAGAATGTGTGAACCAAACGGCTGACGGAACACGAGGAAAATAAGTGCGTGCACTGTGCCGTGTTTCGGCGTCGATGGCAGAGCGGCAGGAGGCCCGTGCTGGCAACTGAGATGTTTGCGTGGCGAGGGATGTCGGTGTTGATTTTGGATCGTCGAGGGTGAAATGAATTTGCTGCTGCCCGTGTGTGTGGCCACTCCGGCGGAGGGCGAACACAAAAGGGAAGGATGCAGGCGCTGCGTGTGTGTGTGCAGGTGCCATGCAACAACGTCACAACAAACATGCTGCGACTCGGTGACCCTCACATCGTTGTGGTCCTCACGCACAGCCCGGGCACGGCCCGCATCGATGCACTTAGTGGACGGAGTGAGGCATCTTTTGAGGCGCAGCAGGGAGCAGGATGTGTTGACGCAGCCACGACGTGCATGGAGTGTCACGATGGCACGGCCGGCTGTGGCTGGTGGAATAATTACTTCTCGGAGGCAACAGAGAGAGCTGCTGCTGCTGCTCCTGACGTTGCTGCCTTTTGTGGCCTCCCATGCCGATTGTTATCTGTCCGCTGATCATGGGTGGCATGCCTCCACTAGTGACGTCGTCTGCAGGGATTTCACAGCAGCAGTGAAACGCACATCATGTCGCATGCTTTGGCTGTGGGTATGGTGTCGTGAATGCAGCCGGCATTATTTTGCCCGACTCCTTTTCACTGCCTTGCGACAAATAGATGCGTCGCCGCCCGAGTCATTCACTGCAGCTCCGTGTGTTGTACTGCCGGCACAATACTCTCGTGTTGTCTGGCGCCTGGCTGACAGTCAGGCACCACTGCGCTGGGACATGCAGGGATGTGGACTGCCGCTCACGGTGTTGGGCACCGCTGTTTGGATGCGGCGGCCACACGAGCGGATGTATTGTGGCACAATGAAATGCGTGAAATACGCGGAATCACAGCGGCTGCAATAATATCAGCGGTGTGGCACCACGGAATATGTGAGGGGTGATGCATGATGAATCAGAGTGGGCGGCATGCGAGGGAAGTGCACCGCGACGGAGCGTCGCCCCGCCCTCAGCCTGCAGGGGAATGTACGCCCACAAAATATATGGTCGAGGCACCACCAAACACGCATGCCCTTCTGTGCAGCAATAAATAGGAGCGAAGGTGCGTTCTGGTGCGTGGGAGTCCACTCACATATTCCCATTTCCACCGCAATAAACGGCGAGGAATCAGGTGCCACAGCAACGAAGGAGGAAATAAAAACATCTATTGCAGCACTTTACCAGCGAAAAGCAGGAACAACGCAAATTGAATTATTGGCTGCACCAACACAATAAAAATTCACAAGAGAAGGAAACGGTTGTGCACACCGCAGGAACCCCAACACACGATGCAGGCATGAAGGTTTACCCTCCGCAAAAACAATAACAACATATGCAGACATCTTCCACCCTCCAAAAGGAAACACAAATAAATGGCTGCTTTATTCCATTCCTTGCGCTTGACTTTGCGTGTGCTGCTGCTGCTGCTGCGGTGGTGGCTGCGCTTCCCGTGGACCAACAATCCACGTGGCGTGCGGGGATCTATTCTTTTTCATGGTTACTTTGCTGTTGTGTTGCTGTGTGCGCTGCACCTATTCTCGTGTGTGCGTGCGTGCCCTCCGTGAGGGGTGCCGACACGACGGACCGCTCTCGCCGTATGTGCATGCGGTGGAGCCTTGTGTGCCGCTCCTGTTTGCTTCTCCCTCCTCCATCTGTGTGTTGGTGTTGCGGCAGGGCTGTGTGTGTGTGTGTGCCTGTTGCCGTGGATTGGAGTGTGTGCTGCGTGGTGTGCGGCGTACGGTGCATGCCTGGCTGCTGCCCTCTCCTCATGTGTGTGTTTGCCCTCTGTGTGTGTCTGCCGCACCTCTCGTCTCCCCTGTTGCTCTCCATGTCCCTCACTGTGCAGATAAGCTCCACACCACTGAACGACCACACTCACGATGATGACGTGCCGTCTGCTGTGCGCCCTGCTGGTGCTTGCCCTGTGCTGCTGCCCGTCCGTGTGCGTGACAGCGACTGGTGAAGAAAAAAAAGAAGCCGATAGTTCAACGACTGCTTCGCCACCGGGAACAAGTGGTACAGGGCAAGCAAATACTTCCACGGGGCCAAGTTCAACAGTTATGAACGTTACGTTACCGGTAACCGAAAATCAGGACGCTAGGGGAGAAGCATCAGACAAGACGACTGATACCGGAAAAAGGACAGATGGAGTGGCCGTTACGTCAGGGATTACGGGGAACAGTGCGGAACAGCCAGTAATTGAGAACCATAAATCACAAGGGGCAAGTTCCGAGAACGATACGGTACAAAAACCGGCTGAGGAACAGAAATCAGGTACGACGCGCGATACCGGACAAGAGACAGGTAAGGGATCCGCTTCGCCAGAAACTTCAGATAAAGCAAGTCCGGAGCATATTCCAAAGGAGGGAGCAGGTGGGTCCGATGGGTCAGGGTCGTCAGGTGGGTCGGCTAACTCAAATACATCGTCAATTTCCGTGACCGGTACGGTACCGGCACAAATTCAGAAGGAAAATGCGCCAACAACAACAACCACTACTACGACAAAAGCACCAACTACCACCACCACTACGACTACGGAGGCGCCAACTACAACGACGACGACCCGCGCACCGTCACTTCTTCGTGAAAGCGACGGCAGCCTCAGCAGCTCTGCGTGGGTGTGTGCCCCGCTGCTGCTCGCCGTATCCGCGCTGGCGTACACCACTCTGGGCTGAAGAATTGTGTGCGGGCTGTGCGTGCCAGCACCCAACCGCGGGGACTTGTGTGCGTCCACTGTGGTCCGATGTGCTAAACAGGATAAAATAATGATTGTGTTTTGCTTCACTTGCTCCCGCTGCCCTGCTGTGTGCTCCTTGCCGCTCCCCGCATCCGTCGCGTTGAACGCACCCCAGACACACTCATGTGCATGGCACGCACACAACTGATTGCGTGGGGTCACACTTGAGGATGGGTGCGTGCGCGCTGGAGCCATACTGTGCAGCCCTTTGTTTTGTGTGTTTACATTTTTAACTTCATTGCTGTTCGTTTACCTGTGTTTTGTTTCTAATTGTTTTGTGTGTTTTTCTGTTTGCTTGCTGCGGGGCGTTGTGTGTTTTTGCCCCTTCACTGCTTTCAACTGCCTCATGGTGTGTGTGCGCTGCGGCTGCTGGGCTGCTGCCATTTGTGACTGTGCGGTGGCTGTGCGTGGTGTAGCGGCCGTGTCTCTCCTTTTGTTTTCTCTGCGTTGACGTGTTGTTAGTTTGTGCTGAAGGCTGCAGGCAAGTGACAGGAGTGATGGCGATGATGGCTGGCCGTGTGCTGCTGGTGTGTGCCCTCTGCGTGCTGTGGTGCGGTGCCGGCGGGGCTGATGCGAGTAATCTCGAGAACAACGCAGTTGGTGGCTGCATGGCGTCGTGGGTGTTGAATGCGAATAAATCGTATACGCCGAGCGGATGTGACAAAACGGCGCTGACGCTGCCTTTACGATCTGTCTTGTCCATCACTGCCGTTGCAGCTTCGACTGACCCATTGGTGACTGGTACAGCCGAAAATAAATCGGATTTAGCTCCGAGTTCAGGTGCTGATTTCGGTGGTGCCGGTTCTCCTCCTGGTCGCGGAGGTGAAGGTGGAGGCGGTAGAGACGACGGCGCTGGCGGTCCTGGTGGCGTTGGAGGTGCCAGTGGCAGTCAAGCTCGTGGCAGCAAAGCTTCTGGTGGCGGTGGTGGTGGCTCAAATGGAGGTTCTAAAGCACGTGTTGATGGCTCTTTGAAGTCCCCTGCTTCGGATGTCAAGTCCCCATCTCCTGTTCTCGGCGATGGTGGCAGTTCTCCTGGGGCTCCTGCAGGAAGTGTAGGTTCTGACGGAAGCAAAGGCTCCATTTTGGACTCCTTTTCTTCTGGTGGTCGCAGTCAACCTGATGTTGGCAGTCCAGGTGGTGATGCATCTTTGAGCGCTCCTGTTGCTGGTGGTAAGTCCCCACCCTCCATCACCGACGAGAGTGATGCGTTGGAGAAGACCGGCGCTGCGGCATCCACAAAGGGAGGGGAGCCTCAAGAAGCAGGTGAGCAGTCAGGAGCAAATCGTGCACGGAACGAATTGCCCGAATTGTCGGCACCAGCGGAGTCAACACCCGAAGCACAAGAAGACTCTCCCAGTAAACAAGAAAAACCAGAAAGTGAAGCTGCTGGTAGGGCCGCAACTGGAGAGGAGAAACGGCGGAGTGATGCGGAGGCACAAGGTCCTTCCACCGTGATGTCCACCGCCAGCGCCAGCAACGGTAGGAGAAGAACGACCAACAGCGGTGGCAGTTCCGGCAGGAGGAAGCCCAACGGCACAAACAGACTCGCAAACTTTGACAGAAGAAAGGACAAAAACGCCACCGTCATCAAACAAAAAGGAGCCTGAAGAGACGGAACCTACTTCTGGAGATGGTGTGGCAGAGCAACAGGGTCAAGGCACTGTTTTACCGGATCTGAGGGGTGGACCTACCGGCAGCCCGGCGGAAGTAACGGCATCATCCATCTCTACAAGTGGCAGTGGTGATGGCCGGAGTAGGGCGGATGAGAATGACGACAACGGCAAAGGGCCCAACCCCAGAGGGCCACACAACGACCCCGAAGCCAGCCATACCAACGTTGCGCCCACAGCCAGTGAGACAAAACCACCGACAGCGAAAGCAGCAGCTACCGCCAGAACAGATGATACGGCAACGCCTGGCAGCAGTGACGGCAGCACCGCGGTCTCCCACACCACCTCCCCTCCTTTGATTCTTCTTGTTGTTGCGTGTGCGGCTGCTGCTGCGGTGGTGGCTGCGTGAGAGTGAGGGAGAGAGAGCCGTGCACCGCCCGCACACACACTCGTCCTTCTCTCTCTGTGTGTGTCCCCTTGCATGGACTCTCGCCCTCACCTCACCCCACGATGCACAAACATAATGTGCCCATTGTATATATGCATGCACACCCATGCAGGCCCGTTGGTGCTCTCTTTTGCACGACACGCACCGCTGCCGTCCTGCCTGGCTGCATGGGCGGAGCACCGTAACTGTTTTTCTGTTTTGTTTTTATTGCATTGAGTGGGCGACCTCTCTCTCTCCCTATTGGGCTTTACGGGAGCAATGGGAGTGTGTGCGCTGGTCGTCCCACCTGTTGCTGCGCGTCCCCACTGCTGGGTGGACGCCCCCACGCTTCGGCTTTTTGTTGTTGGTATTTTTTATCCTCTGCCTGTGTTGTGGCTGAGTGCACCCATCTTACTTTTTTTGATTGCTGGTTTGCTTTGACTGCGGACGCCTGATTCCTCTTTGTGTGTTCTCACATTGTTTTCTTTCTCCTTCTAAAAGTGTCAGCCACTCGTATCCTTGTAAAGCCACCACGTCCTTTCTTTTCCACATACGCCATGCGTCAGTTGATCCACGTCACCCCACGGTCTGCAGCGCTGCTGGAGCTGCTTGTGATGATGCCTGCGACGGGAATTGCCAGCGAGTGCTTTGCTGCCACCCTGACGTATCCTTTGCTTCCTTGACGATGTAGGGCGTACCGACTGCGCGCGGGCGTCTGTGGTGCTGGTGAGGCACGTGCGTCTCAAACCGTATGATGCGTCGCAGGTGTGCAGCGTCGTTTCGAAGCACCCATGGGCGTTTCTACTCATCATGACGTCCACAACGGACCCGGATGGCAGCAGGAGGCACTGCGGTTCCTCCTGGTGTTGCACAGCGACTTTTTTGGACGGCGCGCCTGATTGGCGTCTCTTGGGGCTTTTGTGGGAGAAGGTGGGAGGCTGAGGGCATTAGGACTGAATTGTTTTGAGTGGCTGCGTTTCGTTGAATTGCGGCCGGTCGTTGCACTCTTTTGGGGTTTGGCGGCCCGTCTCTTTTGTTTGCTTCCCACCGCAGCGCGTGGATAACACTGGTTCGAGGAACACTTGTTTGACGGGTGTGAGCTGCTGCCGTGCGTGGTGCATGGACTATTTGATTGTGTGGGGAGGTGCATGGAGTGACGAATACTTCTGTTTGGCGTGTCGCGGTGTGTTGGAATGATGGTTGGAAAACATGTGAGGGGTGTTGTGTGTAGTTTGTGTGTCTTCTCTGGTGGAGCCGACATGTGTGCGGGGATTGTGGCATTGCTGGCTGACAGCTCCACGTCACTTTTCGGCATTCCTGGATGTGCTGAGGAATGACGGCTGGCGACCAGCGTGTTGGTGCTGCTGGTGGGAATAAGTGCACGAGGAATTGGCCATTTTCTCTTTCCCATGCTGGAGCCGATGAACTGGCACGAGGGCACCGGCTGCAGGCTGCCTGCCAGCACGTGTGAGCAGCGGATCCATGCACACACAGACGCTCATTGCAAGAGCTTGTGCGATCACGGTGGCTTTTGTGGCGTGCTTTTGTGGGTGTCAGCCCGTCGGAGAATGTGTGAAGCAAACGGCTGGCGGAACACGAGGAAAATAAGTGCGTGCACTGTGCCGTGTTTCGGCGTCGATGGCAGAGCGGCAGGAGGCCCGTGCTGGCAACTGAGATCTTTGCGTGGCGAGGGATGTCGGTGTTGATTTTGGATCGTCGAGGGTGAAATGAATTTGCTGCTGCCCGTGTGTGTGGCCACTCCGGCGGAGGGCGAACACAAAAGGGAGGGATGCAGGCGCTGCGTGTGTGTGTGCAGGTGCCATGCAACAGCGTCACAACAAACATGCTGCGACTCGGTGACCCTCACATCGCTGTGGTCCTCACGAACAGCCCAGGCACGGCCCGCATCGATGCACTTAGTGGACGGAGTGAGGCATCTTTTGAGGCGCAGCAGGGAGCAGGATGTGTTGACGCAGCCACGACGTGCATGGAGTGTCACGATGGCACAGCCGGCTGTGGCTGGTGGAATAATTACTTCTCGGAGGCAACAGAGAGAGAGAGCTGCTGCTCCTGACGTTGCTGCCTTTTGTGGCCTCCCATGCCGATTATTGTCTGTCCGCTGATCATGGGTGGTGTGCCCCCACTAGTGACGTCGTCTGCAGGCATTTCACAGCACTAGCGAAACACACATCACGTCGCATGCTTTGGCTGTGGGTATGGTGTCGTGAATGCAGCCGGCATTATTTTGCCCGACTCCTTTTCACTGCCCTGCGACAAATAGATGCGTCGCCGCCCGAGTCATTCACTGCAGCTCCGTGTGTTGTACTGCCGGCACAATACTCTCGTGTTGTCTGGCGCCTGGCTGACAGTCAAGCACCACTGCGCTGGGACATGCAGGGATGTGGACTGCCGCTCACGGTGTTGGGCACCGCTGTTTGGATGCGGCGGCCACACGAGCGGATGTATTGTGGCACAATGAAATGCGTGAAATACGCGGAATCACAGCGGCTGCAATAATATCAGCGGTGTGGCACCACGGAGTATGTGAGGGGTGATGCATGATGAATCAGAGTGGGCGGCATGCGAGGGAAGTGCACCGCGACGGAGCGTCGCCCCGCCCTCAGCCTGCAGGGGAATGTACGCCCACAAAATATATGGTCGAGGCACCACCAAACACGTATGCCCTTCTGTGCAGCAATAAATAGGAGCGAAGGTGCGTTCTGGTGCGTGGGAGTCCACTCACATATTCCCATTTCCACCGCAATAAACGGCGAGGAATCAGGTGCCACAGCAACGAAAGAGGAAATAAAAACATCTATTGCAGCACTTTACCAGCGAAAAGCAGGAACAAACGCAATTGAATTATTGGCTGCACCAAACACATAAAAATTCACAAGAGAAAGAAACGGTTGTGCACACCGCAGGAACCCCAACACACGATGCAGGCA